GGTAGAATTAGATCTAGACAGAACACTTAAAAAAGCCCCTCCATTAATTTGTAGAATATGGTAGATATTTTAAATGTCTAAACTTATTTTAGAGAGGACTAAGGAGACCTTGATCAGGAATTCTTTAAGATTTGCAATCTAAAACATATAAAGAAAGACAAAGTAACGTTTATGGATTAGCTGAATTCTATAGGAATCAGCACTGAGATATCATCTAACAGCTTTGCATGCTGTGCTTTTCTTTTAGTAGTTCTGTCTGTCTTTAGTCTTCCTGATCTTTCAGCATTTCAGAAGTATTACCTCCACTTTTGTTGATCCTTATGTGGTAGCAGAACATAAATCTGATGACTAATTCAATCACCACTACACAAAGAGATTAGCAGCATAATTTTCACACATCTCACAGTTCTTGTACCAGAGGATAGGCTGTTTCTGGCATGGCACTGATTTACATTTGGAATTTGTTGGGGCAGTTTTATTCATTGGACTGCGCTGTGAAACTTACCACGCTCCTTTAAAACTACTTATTCAAATGTATTCAGAAATATCTCCTTGTACATCAAAGAACGGGTATGGGAAGGTCAGTCTATTCTAGTAAATGGTCTTATTCTTGAAATAAGCATGGCTGAGTGAAAGCTGCCTGTTAGGAAACCTTGCAACACTCCTAACTGTCCAGCTGTGCCTATGAATAATTGCAAATGGCATGAGCTAAAAGCATGTGCAGGACTATAAGCACCATTTTGGCACTATCCTGTGCTCCTGTGCCCACAGACACCTCTGGACATTGTTTGATTTGCTAATACAGGAAATGACCCGTGACCTCTGAGTGTCTACTTTCACTGGTAAAGTCTGAAGAGCAAGTGTTGATACCCTTGCACCATTTGAGGGTGGGAGGATAGATATTTATACTAAGGATATAGAAGTAATTTTTCTTCGTTTCCTCCAGAATTCTGGATTCTTCTTGCCCTGCTTTCTCACAGAGTATATACCCCTAATTAACCTCTTTGCAAAGGTGTGCCTTGAAGAAAGAGCACTTATGCATCAGTATTAGAAAAAAGCCATCAGATATGCTCATTAGTTATCTTCAAGCTTGTCTCACAAAGGCAGAATTGCTTGACACCGAGATTAGTATCTGTACTACTGGCTTTAAAGAACAGGCTATGTACATCCATATATACACATTGCTATACATCTATGTACACTAAAATACACAAACACTTGCAGCAGCCTTGATGGCTGCTTTTAAAACAAGCACTTGTTCAGAAGTCTGTTTTCATTACGTTTTTAAATATAAACACATTCCAATTTTGTTATAAACTATTTGAATAACTCCTACAAGTACAAATACCTTGTTTCCTTTGAGTTGCATTTGTTACTCATGATAATTACCTGAAACTTATAAAGCATGTATTGAAGTTCTGCATCATATCATACATGATAAGCATTTAATACAAAACAGAAAATACTCAAATATTGTAATGATGAGCACTGGTAATGTAAAAATGCATGTGAATTAGCCATGATGTTTATCAATACACTCACTCTGTTTCTTCTGTAAGACACAATAGTGAAAAACTGTAGTAAACGCAGTTTGTAATTAACTTAGCAGAATTTACACTAATATGGCAGAACTATCACAGTTGGGTCCTCAGACTATAATAATCTCTGATATGTGGGAAAAAAGAAACAGTTATAATGATGATTCTGCTTATTACTTCTAAAAACACATTCAAAACAGAGGAATATATATATCTATACAAAATTTATTTTGTTTAACTGAGATTCTGCTACAATGCCTATCTGGATGACAAATAATGCTGGATTTAATGAGACAAAACATACGAATATGAATTGCCTCTTCAGTGTGTATGAAGTGACATCATGGTGTTTAATTGCTATGTGAGAAAATGACTAGTAACCAAAGTAATAAAACAATGAAATATCAGCTCCCTGAGGAAAGACAAACTGCGGGGTGAGTACAGCTGATTGAAAAGTATCATAATGTGAATTCTTCTACAACAGTCTCTCATTCTGGTAGCTCATAAACAGAGAGAACTTACTCTACAAATGCAGTTTTTTAAAGAACTAAAAATCTCATTCTGCAAAGAACAGCCACTGAAATCAAATGTGCTCCAAAGACAGTCTTCCATTTGTATCTGTAGCAGATTGCTCAGGTGTTACTGTTTTTATACTTTTAAGCATATATGCATAGCTTCCTTTCACAAGTAACAAAAGCAGACATTCATGTGTTCGTGCTTTTAGATATAAATATCCTGTACCAGTTCCCTCACCCAACCCTGTCAGACTAACACCTCATTCTGTTAAAATTTTCCTATTTTCAACAACTGCACTATTAATAAATAGAGTTAATATAGATATGAAGAATTAAATCAGTTGAAAATATCATGCAAAAATTAGGCATCATTCACACACATATACACACAAACAAGCATTCTCATAGACTTTCAATACTTACAAATATTTGCCACATTTATATATGTACACATAGACATTCCTGTATACATATATTCATGTACACATACACCTACACATATGTATCTGTTCTTGTATATATCCCCACAGATAGCAGGCATGTGACTCATTCAGTTCACAGTCAAATCAGATTACACCACTATAAATAACTGAAGAAAAAAAAACAGATAATTTACAAGCAATATCTATTCGTTTTAATATAAAAAGCAACGTGTTCAGAATTTTACTTCTAACACCATTAATACTCATGTAATTTTATTCAATCCTGTACAAACCCCAACTCAGCATCTGCTCTTACACTTTTTCAGCAGTCCAGACTTAAGATTTAATTTTTCGCTCTTCAAAAATATGAAGTGCAAGGAAAACATCTGCTGTCTTTTTCTCTGTGATTCCTCAAAGCAAATTCTATGCCTACTCCATGCTTCTTCATTTTTTTTTCACCTGTCTCTGTGGAAATAAAATATTTGCAAAAGACAGACCCTACAGATTCACTGGAGCTTTACCCCATCCAGTGAAGAATGCAACTCGTTTTCTTCCTCCTTACCACTGTTAATAAGAAGCCTCTCTTCTGGAAGTTTCTAATATTTTACAGCAGGAAAATGAAATTTCTCCTCCACTGAACATCTCAAAGCGTGTTGCATAACTTTACTTATTATGCTTTTGCAATGGAACCAAAGGCTTAAAGATTTTTAAGTATTCAACAACTTTTGCTTAACACATCATAAAAGGAGGAAATATTGAAAAAAAATGTTGGCAGTGTGTGCCAGTCACAATCAGTATGATTCTTTGAAGATAGATAGGAATGTTTGCTTTTATGTTTCTTCTTAAAATTTTATTTTTCAGTAACTGAAGGACGGGATGAAAAGGTTACCAATAAATCCAGCAACTTCAATCGTTTTATTCTATTGAGGATCAGATAACCTAATTAAGCATTTTTCACTCAAAATGAAAATGACTTGGTCATGACTGGCTGGGTTTTAAGCAAGTGTTATCTGCTGGGACGCCAGATTCCTGCAATAAAGCTGGAATAATCAAACAGAGTATTTCCAAAATTTTAGGGAAAAAAAACCCACACCCCATGAGAATGTACAATAACCAAAACCAATACATGAAGAGTGAATGTCAACAGAGCAAACTTCTATTTAAGCTAGTGAAGTTTTTCTCATTGTCATAACTTGCTTGTAAAGCATTAAGGAAGCACAGTTCACCTGTAATTACTGTCAGGTGAGGAATTGTTTGGGAAAGCCCTACGGTTGGGAAGTCCTATGCAAACATTAGTTATCACAAGTTCAGTGTCAGAATAAAACATCATACTCAAAAATGCAAATATTTACACAATAGTAATATTTGTAAGAAAAGAAATCATATTTTACCTGTTACTGGAGCATGAATTCAAATTTTAAAGCTTAGTTGAGCTCTGGTTGTGGCAGGCAAAAAAAAAATATTACAGGTTCAGAAGAAAAGAATGCGAATGACACAAGGAAATACTGAGTGAGGTGGGATTTTTTAGCTTTATGGGGAAATGGGGGAAAAAAATCATGACAAAGGCTTTCCAACAACAGCAAAAAGGTTGGAGAGTTCATGTTGCATGTCCAGGCTTTTGCTGGAAAATGAGGCCATTGTTCAAAATGTAACCATTTTGTCAGGTTCTATTTTTATTTTTCTATCAAGTTACTAGAATTGCCTTATTTTCACACAACATTTCAGTTTGTGTTAATCTAAAAAAAGCCACTCTAGCTGAGAAGTCAACCACAAGATTTTCTCAGAGTTGGAATATTTTCAACCCACAAGGTAAAATTTATAAACAAGAACATAATGGCCATGTAAGTCACATATTTGAATGAGTGGTTAGCAGTTCAGTACACTCAGGAACTAGAACTGAAAGAATTTATTCAGTTACTTGGGGCTCACTCACTGATTTTCTTCCCACAGAATGAGAAGATTTGATAGAAATGTAGGAATTTTTTTCTCATGTATATCCTGCTGTACACAATGAAAGCTGTCTGCCACGAAAGGTAATGTGTTTTTAAAAAAGCATGTAAAAGAAGTTACATCAATTAGTATCTAATATTATATATGCACACTATATATAGGACAGAGACACATGGGGAAATGGAGTTTAAGCGGAAGCAAACAACCCTATGGCAGTGATTTGTGGTCTGAAGCAGTATTATCAGTTTCCTGACAAAAACAAGCAAAAAGATGCAAGGTTGAACAAAAAGAACCTTTGTGGAAAAAGAATGCTTCCTTTAAAGTTACATTTTGCTTTTCAACTGGCTGTAGATGGAAAGAAAGCAAAGGAAACAAGTCTATGAATAATTATAGACTTTATTGTCTTTGTATTTGCTGCTCCAGAAACTACAATTGCAGCAGCTTTGAAACTTCTTATAAATTACAGTTGCAAACTAATTTACAATGAGATTATGTGCCCTGTAACAAAATATAAATGACAAAACATGATTGTCTCAATGCTGATACAATGTAGCATTATGATCACAGTGACTCACCTTGTTCCTCATTGATAAGGCCCATATACGCGTGTGCTTGCGCTTGCCTTTTCCCACCATCAGTTTTTATTAGTTGAGCAGTGTTAAAGCATTGTTCGTAAAAGTAATTCCTTAACTGTTTCTCCTCAGAGTCATCGAAGCAGCAGGCCACGTTAAGTTGGTTATCATAAACTTCTTCAGAGTGTCCTTTAAAAACAAATAATAGTGAAAATGCTAATTTTCATCGGCTTTCACGAATCTCACAGCAATTGCCGTATAATGAAAATGAAGGGCTATTAATTCACCCAGAATTCAAACACTATCAAGTTCTCCTACATATTCAGTCAAGGAAATGTAAGGAGAAAATGATAACCTACAAAATTAGGCATAAATGAAAACTTGATCTATATAAACTACAACAGTTTGCTATTGTTTTTGTATACAAAACCAAAAATTCAATCAATAAAACACAAAGAACCTCTATAAGACATTGACAAGTTGAAAGAAAGAAGCCAGAGTGAGCAAAAAACCTCACACATTCAGTCTCTACTGGGGAGGTATTTGAACTGGTGAGACCTCAAAGATACTGGGAGCTTTCAAAACAGATCTAATGTAGCAACTTATGATGGAGACAAAGAACCAAAAAGAACACCCTGCAAGCACTACCCTTTAATTTTATACCATTTAAAACATTTAAAGTAATGCTAACAAGAAATGCTTTCAGTTTTCTATCTACATTATCGTTTTTTAAAACCTTAACACTCTTACATATCAACTGAAATTTTAACTTTTGGCATGAAGAAATCCACCAAGGTATTGAGCTCAGAACAAACCTGGGAAGCAGGGGAGCTTAAAGTCCTAGATCTCCTTTAGGTCTAAAGAAAAAACATATTCAGTTGGCATTCTGTATGTCTCATCACCTAGCTAAATGAATACACACTATCCCTAACATTTATAAATACACTGCAAATCCCAATTCTAAATAGCATTACGGAATGATCAACAAATGCATTATTCACAATTCAAAATTACAAAATGAGATTATCTATGTAAATTACCTCTGTCACAAGAGTACATTAAAAAAAGAACATGCACAAAAACACAGGAGGTTATTCAAAAACCCTATTAATTTGGATTACAGATCTAAAACTCACCTAACAACTTGTCATATTGCTTCTCCCTAGGGTTGTTTGAAAAATATATTCCCTACACGATGACAAAGAATCTATGAGATAACAAAGTGTTATAACAAAGAGATAACCAAGAATCTATAGATTTCATAACTAAATTTACTACTGGCAAAACTAAACTAATTTTATTTCCAAACTCTGCTTATGTTAGTTGAGAATACAAATAATTATGATTTCCTACTGTGTTTGTGGCCCTGAACTGAGAATAAGCCAAATAGTATGCTCTTAAAAGAATTTTCATGTAGTTGGGTAAAGAAGGAGTTAAGGACTGAAGTGCTGCAGCAGGTAAAAGAATGTTTGGATAGGCTAGATGTGTGAACAGAGCTGCTCTGCTTTCAGGAGTTCTGCAATTTCTAAGCTTTGCTCAACAAAAGAGAAAAAAGAGAAAAGAAAAAGCTCTCTTACACATGATACAGAACAACACAGAAATCAACACAGAAAAAAGCATGTAATTTCAACACAGCTCTCACTCAAAGCTCAGATCTTTTCTAAGTATTTTAGAACAGGGATGCTGTATCAAAACACTTTGATTAAAGGATGCCATTAAATTTCTTTCCTTTCTTACTTTCTTCCCTTCTTCCCTTCTTTCTTTCTTTCTTTCTTTTTTAATCTATGAGAAAGCTTGGGGAAAATCCAACTTCCAAAAGGGACTAATTTCTGACTGTAAATTCTGGCATTTATAAGTCACTAGCATTGTTTAGAACAAAGAGCAGTAATTACTCAAAAAAGTACTTTGCTTGCATCTCTAAACTGCACACATCTCCACTCCAGTATGTTCTGTCTCAAAATTTTGAATGATACAGATACTGCTTGGCTATGATTTATTTCAGCCCAACTTAAACATCTGTTGTGGCATAAGAGAACACTTGAAGATTATCTCAAATGTAGAAAGCAGAGGTTCCCACCATGATTACAAGCAATGAATCAAATAACGACTTAAAAACAGAAATATGAAAACTAAATTTGATCACTAACTGAATCTATGGAAATAATATACATTAGGTGTTGTTTACAGTTGAATGAACATAACTTAGAAGTTCGAAGATATATGCAAATAGTTACAATAGGACAGTAAGAGGAAAGAGAATGGGACTGTCATTGGGGAAGAACGCTAAACACTGATTTGTTGCCTTCGAAACATTTGCTACAAAGTATCAAGGCACTAATGCTACATAAAATTATGCAGATAACTTCAGGTAGTGCCCTACAAATCTCAAGAGATGGTACCGACCTGAGGCGGGCTATTGCCACTGCCACAGCTTTGATTGAATGAACTTTAATGTGACCCTCTGATGACTATCCTGCTGGTGAATAACAATGAGAAGTGCACAAAGACAACCATTTCTCTGTAATAGTCTTGGACAGTGGCTGACCAGGTATGCTGGTGTCACAATAAAATAAACCCCAAAGATAGATGTTTAAAAGCCATATTCTCTTTGGGATTCAAAGTCTCTCTGATTTACAAATCAAGAAATTCATTGATATTGTTCTGACAGAGGTATAGCCAGCATGTCAGACTTAGTCAAAGTGAACTTTCATCTCCTCAGGAGAAGAAAAATATTAGAATAGATAAACACAGTCTTCTATAAAGTCTCCCATAGGTACTTCAGTCATTAAAGTTTTGACCTCTCTGACTTTGTACAGTAAATTCTCTACATCTGTTAATAGAATACACGTGGAGAAATCTTTATGTATCCATTGATATATTAAAAAATTATATATACATATATATATAAAATACCACCTATCACAGAGAGAATGACACAACTGAAATATGATACCAAATGAATAGAAAGAAAAGTCTGAGACACACACAATTGTGAAGCAGCTCCTGCAAGACAAATTCTTGTTTTAAAATGAGAAAAATAGAAGAAAGCATAGAGATAAAAGTTCAAATGCTGATTCTAGTAATATTTCAAAAATTACTTTTACTCCAAAACCAATGGAAGCTGAATTCAGATTTCCCAGAGTATTTAGGATACAGGATTGAAATAATGCTGCAAAGATGAGCAGAATGGTTACCCAAAATGGCAGCTAAGCAGAACAAACAGAACTCCGTGGAGCAGATGATACTGAAGCTTGATACTCTGCGGTTGAAATGGGACTGGGAACACATCTTATGTACAATTATCCAATGTAATGTTTTTTTTTTTTTTTTTTCATTGCAAATTACCAAATTTAAGGCAGTAATATTTCATATGAATTCTGTTCACTTGAGCATTTGTTTGTAGTTTTTTTTTTCCTTAATTTTATCAAACAAGTATTGTTATGTTATATTACAGAATTTATTTTGCACTTTCAAAAATGTTTTTACAACAAAATATAAAATACAGAAAATTGGCTTATTTTATTTTATTTGATTTGGACTTTTCAAAATATTTTACTTTCATCATCGTTTACAATTGAAAATTAGGTATGTACTTAAGGAAAGTATTTCTATCAAATTTTACTGAGGTCTTTTTGTTAAACAGATTTTAAAAAATCCCTTCCACTTGAGTTTAAACATAAAACCCTACATGTTACGCACGTATAGGGTTTCCTGCTCTGCATCAGAATCTCTTCACATAGACTCTCTCCCTGTGACGCTAAAGCCACAGTCCTTGGATAAGTCCACTGAGTAAAACGTCGGTTTGTACACGGACTGTCATCAGGAACCTTTGGCAAGCAAAGGTATGCGTGGAGCAGAGGGTAATTCAGGTGCATGGCCTGCACACTGGTGTTCGGCTATTCATCAACTGAACAGTGCCATGCTCAGAGACAGAAAGGCGGAGGCTGGGTATGCCAATCCCAACAAACTCAGACTGAGGAGTTAAGTACTACTGCTGCCATGGCTTTATCATCTGCTTTTTGACAGAATGCAGTAAAAGAAAGGAAAAGAAGTACTACAGTGACTTTTAGAGAGGAGATGAAAACAACATCCTGAGGAGATCTTGGCTTGGTATTTTCCCTGAAGAAGAAAAAACACTCTTCTTGCTAACAGAAAACAAAACTTGCACTTCAGAAACTCACCTTTAAAATATAGGTATCAGAAGGAATTTTTTAACATCTATCTCTGTCCAAATATTTTCTACTGAAGGAACTACCAGTCAGTCCTTTGTTCCTGCCAGGCAAAGGCCATGTGGAAACTATTCAACAGCTGGTAACACTCATCTTCCAGTTCAGTTACTTGTTTTTAGCGAGTATGGCTGAATTATAGCTGACCACTCATCCTTGAAGACATATCAAGGAGTGCCTTAAGATCACTGGAGTCACAAGGAGTCATTTTTTATGTCAGAATGAGACACCATTAGTACTGGAAGTTTCATTTTTCTCTTGCCTGAGAGATCAATACCGGGGACTCAGTAGCAAGAAGACAGCTGATGTCATGAAGAGTTCACATTCAGAAACATCCAGGATGAAGGCTGTTGAGCCAATAAGGAGTATCAACAGCAAAAGAATGATGCTACAGTCAGTTTATTTCTACCTCAATTCATACACAGCAAAGAATCAGTCCCATTTGCTTGCTCGGGACAACCATGCCTTTACACTTGCAGCTAGGAACATTTTTCCAAAAAGCTTAGCCGTAAGCTGCACTCACTGAACTAATATACACAAATGCAAATGAAGAAAGGGCACTATGGGGTAACACAGACACCAGCAAATTGCACGCATAGCTTCCATTTCATAGATATTAGGTAGCAGGACAAACAGGGTTAACACCTTCCCTCCACCACTAAGTACATGAACAGAATATATTCAGAGTACAATCTGTGCAAAGGTGCTAAGAAATAATCTGGATACGCATTTGCCATATATGGATAAAGTTCTCTAGCAATAGTAACATGAGGCAATTCAACTGGTCATTTGTGACACCAATGGGGGACTCCAAGCCAACAAAATAAAAACATACTACTTCAATTAGAGGCACTGAGGCACAATTTAAAACACAGAAATGCAACTTCTGCTGAAGTCAGCTGGCAACATTTTGAGAAGTCTTGGCATCATTCCAGGGAAGGATCCTTTCACTTTTAGAAGTTAGTAATAATAAATTATAGCTAGTCACTCCATTGTTCTCTAGCAACTACTACATTTTTTTTCCTGTGAACAGTATGAAGTAGAGAAGGACAAACCTGCGTCAGAAAACAAAAAGCATTCCTTTGCCCATTCCCTCAAAACCAAACAAAAATTATCTCCTCCTTGAAAATATTAAAGGAACTTTTCCTTCTTTCTTTTTTTCTTCCCCCCCCCCCCAACACAACATGGGTAATAAGGTTATCACATTTTTTTTCTAGACTAGCCTAAGGCATACGTGAAATCTTATAGAAAAATTTTTCCTTGTAAAATGCTAAATTCTGTTTTTGACCTTCAGTTCCTCAAACATAGAAAGGATTTCTAGTGTTAACACACCAAATGTTCTTATCAAATGTGATTCATGCTTCTTCATGTAGTTTATGAAGCACCTTTTGCAGTGAGAACAAACACTAATTCACATTGACAAAAGTTTGCTCTGTACTGAAGTGAGGAAAAAGAGCTAAGCTAGCACTTCCTTCTAATTCTTTGTCTTTGATATTCTCTAGAACAAGGGTCAGCAGCCTGTAGCACATGCACAGATTTAACATTTGGCATATCACAAAGGTTGCACGGGGTCTAAGAAAAGCAACAGCTTCTGGGTCATAATGCTGACTCTCCAGGAGCTGCCCCAGTGATCAGCTAACAAGCTGTGTCTCGCCCCTTGGAAAGCATATTCACACTGAATGTTAGCTCAATGCACTGGCTCTGTCACAGGGAACAGAGTCACCTGCTACTACAGTGCCTGCTGCTGACTGATACGTTGCAGCCACTGAACAGTGGGACTTCCCTTGGTTTTGCTCCCCTGCTCCAGCAAAGTAAAGTCAATGTCTGAGAGGTATCTTCCTTTAAGAATTCTTGAGTTGTACCTTGACTTGCTTTGTCTGGAAGGAGAATGCAACACAGGTAACCAACCACGCTAGCAAGCACTGATCATAGGCTCTTTGTGGTTTACATTACATTACAGCACAGGTAAGGATTCAGTTTGGGTTCAAACCTCCATTCAATAAGCAATTCAGATGTAATCCAAGGAGCTGACCTCCCTCTGAAATACCAGATTGATGCTTTATGGTACAATCCGTGTACTGCCATTCTTCTCGTAGGCTCAGTGCTAACCAACTTACAAAACTGGAGCTATACAATAATTAGAGGAGATGACTCAAAGAAGTGGCTTCGCCCAATGAGCATATAGATCCAAAAACCAAACTTGCAATGCATTTTAAAACAATAAGAGACTGTAGCAGCCAGGTAATGATTTAAAGAATCACTTACATTCTTCAGGTAAAATGCATGCAAAGAGCACATTAAAGCTATTGTAAGTATTTTTGTCTGAGGAACACCAACATCCATCATTATAATAAGCTGTTCTCCCAGGCATACATTAATCTGGGTGTTAAAAAATTCCAAAAGGTAAGCAAAGGACTTGGGTGTTTTTCCTTTGTTACTACTTTTCCTTATGACCCACCCAAACACACACAGATAAATTTTATCTGGGGTCTTAGATAGACGAAACGGACAAAATTAACACTATTTAGCTGTGCCTATGTAGGGTATGGACATCATTTGTTCTAAGGATGCCAGCAGCCAAAGGTTTTCAGTTGGCAGTCCTCACTGTCAGTCTGGAATGGGACTATGGTTTCCAAAACTTCCTCTTGCTAACACACAGAACAGTACTGAGTGGGTGCTAGGGAGCTACGTCTCTTCAAAGGGATTGCAACATCAACCCCAGGGACAATTATACCTTCCCATGAAATTAGTCTGGCAACAGGGCATTCAATTCAACAGCCTCGAGATATATATTTTTCTTACTGAAAAAAAACAACATTTATCAGGGTATGCAACATTATCATGTTATACAACAGATGCTAAGCTATGTCGATTACTTTGGCATATATCCTACATTCTTCTTTAAAACACCCTAAAAGTATATTATTCATACTTACTTAAATAGGTAAATCATGTTTTTATTTTTAAACTACTGATATCAAAACTAGTAGAAAGAAAGACTGGTGCTTGATAATGAAGGAATTTCAAAGAATAATTGGAAACAACTGTATTCTGAAAACATTTACATTGCTTGCATCAAGGAAGACCAAAGAGGAATGCAGTATCACCAATATTTCTGCCAGATATTTTCCTTTTTTATTGTTTTTTATTTATTTATTTATTTATTTTAATAATGCTGTACTTAAGGCAGAATAACCAGCTTTTCTTTTCTTTTCTTTTTTTTTTTTTTTTTTTTTGAGAAGATGCAAGGATTCATGTTTTTTATTTTTAAATACTTGGAAAGTATTCAAATGCAATGGCAATGAGATAAAGTTAGAAAAACAGCTTTTGCAAGCAGTATAATACCAGTTTAAAAGAAAGACTACTGTATGATTTGCTGTTCCATTGAAATGCAGTTCCACTAGAAATGAGAACTGAGAGAATGCTCACTGGTGTATCTGAAGGTAAATGGTTTGTATAACACAACACTGGTAAATAAACAATCATGATTTTCAAATGCAGAAGTAATGAAATTAATTGCTCTTTGAGATTAGCCTCCACATCATAATGGACTGCTTTGATTAATTCTGCCCAAGCAAACAATTTAATTGCAACATCGTAGCATCAGTAATTACAATCAATCAGGAAAAGAAAACATCAACATATTCCACCAATAAGTATGGAAAGTGGATGAATGAATGCCTAACTTTTGCTCTGCACTGTGCTAACAGCTCTAAAATGCTGAACTTAGGAGCAGCAGATCTAATTGAAATTCACACTGAGACAGCTACACTCTGTGGCACAAAAATATCAGGTGAAAAAACTAAAGAAAAAATGGGAAAACTTTTTACTAAGATAAGCTATGTTTCATTTTTGTCTTGCTACTTCCAGTTCAAAAACAATCCTCTTGTGAAGTTAAAATTAATAAAAAGATTACAAGTCAAAGTTGTTTGTCATACTTACTAACTCAGCACAAGTGGAGCTCGGGATGCTGTATCTGAGACAGGTAAATTTTCAGCTAGTATAATGTTAGTGACATCAGCTGCACTGCGTTAGTCCCACACCTCACTGCCACAAATATCACTTCAAACATTTTAAGCTTGAATTGTGGTGGCTGAGGAGCAAACAGCAGGTCAGCTGCTGTTCCAACTGCTACACTGCAGTAAATTCCAGCTAAAGGATGAACTGAACCGTGTTACAGTTTTTAAATGTTTTCAACTGAAGTTGTCATTAGATCATAAGCCAGAGCTCCGAGCAATTTGATTAGAATCAGAGAGAAACTGGATTAGTAGAACTCCTGAATTAGTATTTGATGAGCTGTGTAATTCATACGTTACATTCACAGCACTACTAGCTGTAACATGTATGAGTCAACATCCATCCCCTCATGTGCCATAGCTCTGGCCTCACATGAAATGCAGATTTGTGTCAAGGTTTATACTGAAACTGGCGAAAAATCAGATCTCTCACCATTCCACAATCACAGAATTCATTAATGATTTGCTGCTGAAACATTTGTCAGCTCCGTTGATAGGTTCTCATTACTTAGCTTTCATTTTAACCAACTTCAACAGGTAAAATTTGGAGATACTCCCTTCCAGAGGCAAGACTCCATCAGTCAGTCAGTTGGCAGCATCCTGTCTCTCGTGGAACCCAGCACACAACGAATGCCAAGTTCAGTGAGAGAAAGGCCTCTGCCTTTCACTGGGCAGAGCCTGAATTTACTTCTCTGGGAGGATACTTGCCAACTCTGTTGGCACATAGCAGTTAGTAACACTAGAGAAAATCTTGCACAGAAGGAAAGCAAAGTACTCTCCCCTCAAGCAGCTTCAGGAAGCACACTCATCCAGATATTCCAAATCCACTACTTTTGAACACCAGCATAAAGGCAGAATGCTTATGTATGTCAGGCTAGTCTCAGTGTAAAATTTCTCTTTCATACTCCTGCAAACTACAGAGGTGCCTGTTCAGGTTTTAGTCATACTCAGAAAAACCTGAAGATACCTTTCTATCATGTACTGGTTAGACTTCCTGTCTAGGATTACAGTCAATTAAATAAACACATATTTTGCCTTTAAAGTCAGCATAAACATTTTAAATTAACTTTTTTTTTTTTTTTTTTTTTTTTTTTAGTGCTGAAAGCTTTTGTTATTGCTGTTTTTCCTTTTAAAATGAAGTGTTCTAAGTTTCAGTAAGAAAGCTTGGGTCTCAAACTCTCAAGCTTTATTTTACATTTTTCTCTTTGTAATGATGAAAATACAACTTGAAACAAGCCAGATATAATGAAATCAGCTCTGCTGTGAGACAGGATTGTAGTTTTACCTGCTTCCTTCCCTACAATTATTCCAAAGGAAAAAGACAAAGTAAGTTATATCACCATTTCTAGCAAAACAAAATGATGAAGAAGAGTGCTTAGTAAACAGTAGGCAATAGAGAAAATACAGTAATCTGGAGTTACATCTTCACTAATATCTAGTAATTCACAGGTGACATATTACAGCTACGTGATGTATTTTATTTGACACGTTCACAGTCTTTTTAAGGTCAGTCACAAATCCAAACAGTTAGCAGACAGAGTATTTAATAAAATCAAATTTATACAACTATTACCGTGAGAAGCAGCGTTTCACCTATTAATTTTTTCCTAATACAAAACCAGCTAGTCAAATCAATACAGGAAGAAAAGCAATAAATAATGAAGTTACGAGAAAATGTTTGAGATGTTATCAAAGCTATAAATATACAAAACATTTCTGATGATGTTATAACGCACTCCACACATTTTTACCTTCCCCCCCCCCACTCCTGATATCTGCAGCTCCTAATCATTTATTCTATAAATACGGCTTAGTTGACTAAGGCTGAAATGTGCTAAGATGCAGTAACGTTTCAAATTCATACATGAAACAATTTGGAAGCTTCCCCCAGGCATTCGCGGCTGCGGCTCCCGCTGCTCTGCTACCCACAATCCCCCCATTTACCTGCTCGCTGGGCTGCCTCAGCCCTGGTCAGGAAGTGGTAAAGCTGATCCAGCTTTTCAGGCTGCTCCTCCAGGGACTGCCGCTGCCATATGGCTGACCCAGGCCCTGCAGCCTCCCTCAAGGCATTCCACTTCTGTATCAGAGTGAAGAGCTCGGAGAAGGACTTGTGATAACCCTGTCGCAGCATGTCTATGCAGATGTTCTCCTTGTATGAATTCCTGTTACTGGGAATAAGACAGACAGATTTTAAGCCTTTAAACCCATATTCTCTTCTCCACCTTACCAAATAAGTACGGATATTAAAACAGCTTTCAAGACCAGACCTCTGCAGATCACCAGCAGGGAACGTTTTTTTCTTTCCTCCTCTCAAAAAGCATTCTGCCAAAACACAATTACAAATATCCCCCCCTAGGGAAGTGAACGTGGCAGTATTAAATAAATACCCAAATATATTTTGCAAACATGCTCAAAATGTACTGGTTTCCTTTAGCTGGTACTGGTAAAAAAATAAAAAAATAAAAAAAATTAATAGGCTGACTGATGGGAAAAATACATGTTTACATTAGTTTATGAAAACACAATAAACTCTTAGTTTGCTTTAAAACAGTGCACAGGGAAAAATGAAGCACGTTCCACATGTCAAAAAAAAAAAAAAAGTGTATGTTAAATAGTTTTGCTGCAGGATATAATGCCTTGGTTTAAAATGTCGAACAAATGCTATGCCAGAAACACAATCATTAGATATTATTTTGCTTCTCTTTAGCATAGAATTTCGGCTGGGACTGGTTTACTCCCTAATTTTAGAATCAAAGGATGCAATGATGAATTTATATCCAAGTTATCCCATTCATAAATTCTGATAAAATATACATATCAAAAAATTGCATAATGAAATAGTCTCAAGAGGTAACACGTCTTTTTAGGTATTATTTATGGAAATAATCCAAACATTTCTTTTATGTGGCATGAAACAATTATTGTGTCCCATCCTGGAGAAAGCTATGAGTCCAATGGGACCACCTGCATCACTGAAGTACAGATCTAAATGTCTGCAGAAGTAGGTCTCCAGTTTGAGAAAACAAATCCCTGTCCCAGCGAAATGACAGGGGCCTAGATATGGTAATTTTATTTTGCAGATTCCATTCAAGTTTTCAATATGTTTTTAAAATTGTCTTTTCAGATGAGATTCTATTTAAGCACAAATTCTCAGAGGCTATAAAATAAATATGGAATTTTGAAAACCAAGATTTACAGAGTATGCGAGAAATTCAGATGATCTCCCACTGAACAATAGCCCAATGAGACCAATTGTCCTAGCCTACAAAGAGCTACTGTAGCATTTTTTAATGGAATTTATATAAAAATATCTTAACTAGATGTCAATAAAGTAAATGGAAACGTAAGGCATGATAAGTAAACAATCTGCATTATTTCATGTTCAGTACCATTAAAATAAATCTATTAATTACTATGTAGAGTCACATTAATCCTGCATATGTATTTACACTTGTGTAGCAGAACTTAAAACAAAAACATTACACAACTCTAAAAGATACGTGAGGACTTAAACTACAGTTCTAAATTTATTTGTGTTTATGTTTTGTTAAGATTGAAAACACATACTATCCACAAATATAAAAGAAAACACGTAACTCTTCCTTACCAGAAAACATTCGCAACATTTATCTTCAAAAACTGAAAAGAGAAATATCTTTAAACATTTATACTTCTGTGTGCCAAAACATTTCTGGTACATCCCATGTTCACAGTATGCAGCCTCAAAATATGGCATAGTTGTTATATTCATATGGTGCAATTTATTTTTTACATTGTATACATAAGATTTATTCTTTTATATTTCTATCTAAGCATCTAAAAAAATGAAGAAGATCTCTAAGTAAAAAATTTCCACCACCGTTCAAAGGATGAGAACTGTATCTTCTAGTAATAGGATTCCACAACAATGGAATAAAGTCTGTATAGCAGACATACATCTGCACATCTGAATTTATCTACATTCTGTGGTCTGTATATTATATATGCATGCATGTCTTAGATGATTGTACGTAGAAGAAGAAATTAGCTGCTGAAACATATTAATAGTAACTAAATAAAATATTGGTCCGCTCATTTTTAGCACTTACTCCCCAGTACCAATATTTGAATCAACAGAAAAACTGTGCATTTTACCTGATATCAAAGCACTGCAAAAGACAGTGTTATTAACAAGTGAACAGGGGAAAACAAACAAACAAAAATGCTGGAAAACAGGTCTGTCCTAAAAATTAGTTTTACTATTCTTTTAATGCAAACCCATGCCAATTAATTAAGAGATTCAGATAGTGGTTAAGATGCCAAATTTATGGAATGCATAAAGAGGACTGCACTGGCAACATACAAGCAATGAGACTACCTACTACTGTACAGCCATTCAGATTTTAGAGGCACGAGGATGTAAGTTGTCTCCCAAAGTTATAAAATCATGGAATCGCTCAGGTTGGAAAAGACCTTAAAGCTCATCGAGTCCAACCACAACCTAACCATACTACCCGAACTCTAACAACCCTCTGCTAAATCATGTCCCTGAGCGCCACATCCAAATGGTTTTTAAACACATCCAGGGATGGTGACTCAAACACTTCCCTTTGGAGCCTATTCCAGTGCTTAACAGCCCTTTGTCTACAGAAGTTTTGCCTGATATCCAAAAAGCAAAATACTATATTTGTTTCCTTTAAAAAATTTAGTACATAAGATGTGTGACTGATAATACACAAAGTATGGATAAAGGGCAGAAATGAATGATATGGGGATGAACGTTACGGGTGAAACCTCCTGAATCAGAGCTTGGCACAGTAACAAATTCTGAAGTTGTTTCAGTTCTTTTAGTGGTTCCAGACAAAAATCCTCTCCAGAAAGCAGTGCTTTTAGCCAGAATGGCGCAGGTGACAGAAGTGAAGGTGAAGAAGAACTTTTCATGGTACCTTGAAATAAACCATACACTGTCAATAATCAACGTGCTCTTCCTACTGTTTCCACTAATATCACACAGCGTGTAAAGTGAGATACATTGCTGCAGATAACTTTGTTCTTAGCATCAATATCAAAAACTGATACCTAATTAGATGTCCACGATTTATTTTCTAAAATCCAGCTGTTAACTTTATGTTTCCTTGCATCAATAAGCCAGCTTATGCTAAGCCTTTTGGTTTTCTATTTGATACATTAATTACGATACCTGAAGAAAGAGAGAAGTTTACTTTACTTTATCGCACCCACCCGATTTTAGGCTTCTTTCGAACAATTATGTTACTCGGAGAAGGAAAATGAAAAGAGACTGCCCTTTTATTTGGTTGAAGCGGAGACGTTCAGGAGGTTTAATGGTCTCTGGGGGCATCTACTGGAAATGTGGAAAACTGCAGTCACGACGCGTTAATCACGCCGCTGTCGGAGCGACGAGGCACGGCCGCAGAACAAAGGGAAGAGCCGCCCCGCGAGCAGCCAGAGCAGCGACTTTACGTTTAAAGCAGAAAACAGTGATTCTGTTTCTAATCTAAATCGGATTTTTTTTTTTTTTTTCCTGAATCCATTTCGATCGACAGATGATACTTAACACACAGACGACGCTGGGAACCCACTGCTCACCTGCCCATACGCTGGTCTCCGTCGATGTCATCAGATGTTTATTTATGCAGGTCGGGTCACACAGTGACGTGAGGTCCACTTAGCGATCTGGTTGGGTACTATACACTTGGCATACGTGCTGTTACTGCGATGCAGTATTTTATAGCTACTTAGATAATTTTCTTTTACGGACTTCTTTTATTATTGTCGTTGCTATTCTAAAACTATCCGGAGTCGCCCTGAGGAAACTGATTTGAGCACAGAAGCCTGATTCTAATTTGTATTTGCTAGTGCAAAAATCAGAAATGCCCATCTTTAGCGGAGCTGATGAAACAACACTGCTGCTGCAATCTCAGGCATCTGCTGGTACCGTACTGTTACAGGATTCTTAAGTAATGCTTGGAGATTGGGAGTGCCATCCTTTAACTGCTAGTCCTGTGGCACTCTGCCCTTCACAGAGAGAAAAGGAGACAGAAATTAAGAGGCCAAGAGACAGGAGTTGGTAATAATCAGAACAGTCAACATGTCAGAGCAGAATTTGGTACCGTGAGCTTACATCTCCAGGCCTCCTGCCTAGAGTGGTCAGTGGCAAACATGCAAAATAGATACAGAAGGCTACAGTTAAGTCACCATCCCTGGATGTGTTTATAAACTGTTTGTATGTAGTGCTCAGGGACATGATTTAGCGGAGAGTTGTTAGAGTTAAGGTAGTATGGTCAGGTTGGGGTTGGACTTGATGAGCTTTAAGGTCTTTTCCAACCTGAGCAATTCTATGATTCTAGTTTTTTTTTTTTTTAACAAGGTTTGTATCTTTAAGTTTGTGAGGATTGAATTAGTAGTGCAGGTTCGTGGCAGCTGCTGAGTACAATACAAGCATACGTAACAATCTCATTTTCTAAAGCAGAAAATGGGATGGATTAAACAATGAGAGTATTTAAAATTGAAATGCATTAACAGTTTCAAATAATTATTACACCAATAATTGTAATGTTTATAATTGTATTTCATTCTTTTTTTTTTTGCCTTCTGGATCTGGAAAGTCAATGATGGATAAAAATGTCTTAGAATTGGATCACAAAATTAACAAAAAATAACCTAGAAATATTTTCTTAAATGTATTTAAACAGATACCAGTATTTATTTTTCTCATTTCTAATTGTACAAGAAAAACAAAATCACATGAGTATATGAATACTTAGTTACTTTGTGTTCAACCTATATGCAAACACACAGAGTAAACAAGGGCATATCAGTTCCCACAGTGAAATCTGGAAAATATGTACATTAAGTAAAACCAATTGTATTACACAAAACACAAAAGACAAGCATGCTCAAAGAGTCTCTACTGTCAGGCTGCTCTGCCTAGGAATCAAAAGAGCAATTACTATTTAATTAAAGTTGGACCAAAAAAGGTAATGCTTTTGTAACTCTGGCAGTGACCCACCTGTGAAGCAGTTAACACTTTTGCAGGGCATTGCTGAAGATGAAAAGCACTTATTCAGATATATAGTAAATAGGGATGCTGAAAGATTTCAGTGGTTCAGCTTCAGTGATGCTGTGATCAGGGCTACAGTGTTATAAAGCCTTGTACTTACACTGTTGA